GCTGATCCTGGAATCAAAAATGCTTACAAGAACAAGTGTAAAGCAGTGTGTGTTATGAAAATTAGCACCAGGCAATCACTATTATCCTTAGCCCCACGGTGGGCGCCAAAATGTTTACCCTTAAAATCGGATAACAATTAAATTTGTAAGTGGTTTTAAGGATATCTGATTTCATTTGGCACAAACTGAGAAATATAAGAATTGAAGTTAGAAATTAGCTGTAAAATGAAGCAAACCAATGTAACGCGCAACTTAGGTCCTCGAGATAGGTCGCCCTCGAACCAACTGGGTATATTATTGAAAAGCAAGAACTGAACAACTGAATAAGATAGCTTAAGAGAGAAAACGTGATATATTGCTTTGTTATGTGTGTCCCCTTACAAAATGATTGGAACCCCCTTTATATAGTAGAGGATTTCTACATATGGTACAATTCTAAATATAGAAGGAAATCTTCTGATTGGCTGATCGGCCGGTCTTGACTTGATATATGCCGAGATCTACGCCACAATCCTCGCCCGGTCACTGATTCCTCGGCTTTCCGTTATTCGAATTAGCAGGCTTCCTTTGATCTCGCTAGATCCCTATCCTTCTCGGTCTCAAACTTAGCTGGTCTCGATCTCGATCGATCCCTGAATCACGATCTAGGCAATATTTATTCATGCAACGATCCAATATAACTTGGAATTAAACCTCGGTTTGCCACCCCGGTCTTGGTTAACCATACAAAATCGGATAAGCACGATTTTGACTGTATACAATCAGATCATTCAAAAAGATATTTACATGTAAACCTCCTTAAAATATGAAATATGTAATCTTAAAAATAAGACAGGTTACCTGCTATAACAGATGAATTAACATGACAGGGTAAAAGTTGGCAATGTATTTTAATTAAAGTAGTAACATATATATGTTGTAGATTTATTAGGCGATATCTTTCTTATATTTGTTCTCGTCAATATAGAGAATAAAGTAGGCTTCTAAAGGGAAATAATAATTGATCAAGTATCCTCAGATTCATCTCTGCTAGACTGCTTTACTACTTTACTCTATGTCCTCAAGCATTTGAGTTTGAGCTTGAGTTCTTACAATTTTAGGAAGCAAATTTAACTTCCTTGATATGCTAGATAATTCAACTTTAACGAAATCTCAATTAATAAGCCAAAGGATATTAGAATACAATGAACTATTCACTAATGCATGCTTTCCTAGAAACAACTATTTTGGAGACAATATCATATGATAGTTTTTTTAACCTCTATTGAATTACAATGGTTAAGAGGTACATCTCGATTACCCGGAATAGCTTATTGGTTACATAAATTTTAAAACAATATATAAACATTAAAAATGACTTCTAGTTTATAGAACACTAACTTGTTTGGATGGTTGTTACCTATTGTATTGTATTGTATTGTATTGTGTTGTTACTTTAAATACAATGTTTGTTTTGATTGTTATTTAAATTTTACTGTATCGTATAAATCCGTCGTTATATAACGACGAAAAGTATCACTTTATGGAACGGCGGATTTGGTGTGGTGGCATCGTTACCTTATTTTTTTCTCTCATCTTGCCCTCCTTATTATTAAATAATCAAATTTTATCCTTTACTCCACTCTTTTTGTATACTCTGTATCATATCTTTTTTTAATAATATTGCAAGTTTATTCTTTGTATTGTAGAAGGGCACACAGGGAATGAATGGGAAGATCGAAAAGTTGGAAGAAAAAAGGATTTTTTGGTTAGACGCGTGGAATTGACTCTATGAAATTACGTCGATACTTCTACATATTATGGGTAACGTAGGAGACATATCTATTTTCCCCCCAGGAAATCTTTAAAATTCCCACTGCACCTACTCCTTTTGCAAAAAGGCTTTAGGGATAAGATCAGACTCGAGAAATTGTCTACTTCAAGGCTGCATGGAGGACTACGCTCTGCAGGTGGGCATCACTATCTATGCATAGTCATTCTGGGTCCTCGCATGTTGAAGATAGTTGTTATAAAATTAATAGAACCTAAAATGGATGAAACACCACATAAAAGAGCTTACTCCAAGATCTGACTCTGCCCGTGTAGGAGTTCGGGAAGGCTAGAAGTAAACAAAGAGCGGTAGAAAAGAATAAAGTGTTGCGCCCATTCCGAACAGATTTCCCCATCAGTAATGGGACGTTCGGGATGAAGACAATCAAAAAAAATAAAATAACCCGGATGCTCCCTTCATTCGCTTCGCGGGAGTCGCACATCACATAGCTGGAAGTCAGAGGGGCCATACTACCTGCTCAAGAAAGACGGCTAGAAACTTCCTATTAGGAATGACTTCCTTTCAGGTTGTGTTGTTACAGACCAGACTGTTCTAACAGTGCAGGGGAGGATCCTATTATATAAAAATAGAGAACGAAATAACTAGAAAGGTTGTTAGAATCCCCCTCTTCTAGAAGGATCATCTACAAAGCTATTCGTTAGAATTTAATGGGAAGACCTTCTAGTTAAACCTAATCCGCTGGCTCAGATGAGTGGCTCTGGCATCTTTTTATACTTATGCAATGCAGCCTTTTTTGAAAGTATTCGCGAAAATGTTCAAAGCACCACCTTCGTCAATTATCTTGATGTCGAAAGGGAAGAGGACATGGTCTTACTTACTTAAAAGTAAAAAAAAAAAGAAAAGGAAGTTTCCTGTTTTAGTTTCACTTTCGCACCTCAGCGTCATTAGGGACCTAGAGAGTTGCCTTCGCTTTTGGCGTTCCTTCATAGATCTCTGAATTTTACCCCTATGTACAAAATTCCACTCTCCTCTCAAAAGTCTGGTTCCTTCGCGAACGAAGTTCAGAATCAACAAGGGTTCGTAGAATGAAGGGAGTGTATAACTGGGGCAACCGACCGAAACCCCTGCTTGGACTGGCAGCAAGGAGTCAATTGAATGATCAAATCCTGCAGNTAGGCCCATTACGAACAATCATTAAGGCGGTCTCCAATCTCGCTCGGCTCGGGGCGATCACTTGAACAGGGCGGGATTGATCGATCTACATCAAAAATTCTGGCTTCCCTTCCCAGGAGCGCATCTACAGAATAAAGAGAGCACGCACCACACTCCTACTATACCAGGGCCTTTAGCTTTCACTGAGAAGAAGAGATTACTTCCAGCTAGCTTTTTTCCCTAACCCTAACCAATGAATGATAGGCCGGCTTAGGATAATAGAAAACGAATTCACTTTCAGTAATCGGAGGCAGGTCAGGGGCCGGCGGGCACGCCCCCAGCTTCTTAAGTTTGGGAATTGTGCCGGACCAATGCTACGAGCTTCCGGAATCCAATGGAATCTTCGTAAAGTTGATAGGTGGTGGTAATACACCCTTCTCAAAGGAAACGTACGTGACACTCTCGCATCATACGGCTCCGTCATTCGGAATGCTCTTATGTGTAGGATTCAATTCCAGTATAAAGAGCTTTTTCAATAATTCCAATTCCTCGAAAGCCTAGAAGTACTCTTCCTCTGGTGGGCACTCTCTTACCTCTTTCACACTGTGGGTCTATGTCTTCATCTACCTTGAAAGCAGATTTCGAAATTACATAGGTGAATGTAGAGATCACCGGTGTCCTACTCGAGACGAAGTACTTGTCGTCCCCAAACCAAAAGGGATGAGGGAAAAAGGCTCGAGAAAGCGTCCTGTCCAGAATCTTCCTGTGAACCTGAAATATTAAGTCGTTTGGTCGTGTTGCGTCACGAGTCTACAAGCCTCGTGTTGAGGAAGAAAGATGAGTTTTAATTTGGCATGGAAGCTCTTTTCTTATCTGAATCTTAAGGACAGGACCCTACCCTATTCTCGAACCCTCTGTCGAGCTCTACCCTGCCCGCATTTCCTTGTGTTTTGAAGAGAAAAAAAAAATCATGGCATCATGAAACGACGGCAAACGATACAATCTATCCAACTGTTGTATTCATCAAATAATATAGTACAATACAATACGATACATTATGAAACGATACGTAACAACAATCCAAACAAGCGGATACTGGATAGCGACTTAGATCATGTTCACAAATGAGGATACCCCAAAACGTAATTTTTTATGTTCTGGTAGAACTTTCTTTTTAAGCAATTTTTGTCAAACAAGAAATATGGCTTTAGAAGTCAGTAGTCAATAGCCTTTTTCTCACAACGGAATCTAGATATTTTTTAGGAGTTGAGTTTTTTAACTTACGATTAGGCAGTTAGGATTTGCGTTTTAGTTGCCAAACACTTGAGTAATAATTTTGCAGGAAGTCCGTTAACATAATTAGGACCTAATTTCACATCTTGCTACCGCTTCGGGTACTAAAAAAGATACATGAAGATAACCATAAAGTTGCAGTAGTGGTGGAAAGGGAATCGTGCAACACATTTGAAAACAATGTTGTCTCTCACTGCGAAATATAGATTTTATTATTATTATTATTTTTATAATTCGAATCCATTGGAGAACATATCGATTAGTCTATCAACTATCAAGTACTTGTTATCGCAGACCAACATAGTCGAATGAAAAAAATCACTTAGTCTTTTCTTCTTCTTGTTTGTTGCCTCCGCTGAATTTGAATCCTGATTTCATTTCATTAACAGTTATGCCACAGTAGTCTCGAGTCTAACAGAATAAATAGTGTACGTTTTTATTGGTGATTTCACTTCTTGAACTAAGACACTATATTATAATTTGAAGAAACTTATCTTCCGTAGAACAGAAGAAAAACAAAACCACTAAAATAAGACTTGGACTATAAGGTGATGTCACATTCGCATTAATTATTGGCTTCTTACCTGTACTGGATATTTGCTGATGACTAAACAGGAAAACTTGAATAAGCAAGCAATAATTTAAAAGGAATTATTTCAATTATCTGGAAGGAATATAATTCTTAATTGAAGGTGTATGATACTTTATTTATTAATGTAGCTTCTGATTGAGGATCTTGTCCATGTCAAATAGATTGATATGTCGTTTATGACACCGGCAAGAACTTCTGCATATCTTTACAAACAGCAAAGAACTCCAAGGTTGTTAAACCAATTTTAATGTCATTTTAAGACTTTATGGTAGCATAAAAACAGGCTGCAGATTTTCCAGAAGTTGAATTGTTAGTTGCATGCAAATTCCATAATGACATAACATCCACCTATTGGTACACTTACCTCTTGCTCTATTTGACCAGTATTGGAATGCCTCCAAGGTTTGCATACACATGTTTACAAATCTGGCTTAATTTCTTCTTGTTTATTTCATTCATTAAAACCGTCTTTCTTTCTATATCTTGGTTTGTATTAACATCTTTCTGTACCTAGTTTAGGCAATTCTTTCTTTGTTTTGCTATTTTTTTGTTTTCCAAACCATCCCTTTGGAACGTACTAGTCCAACTAATCTGGGTTCTGCCCGTAGATCAAGGCCCACTATCGGGCATTTTAGCACTCCCTACTAAGAGGATTCCATCCCCACGACTCGGACTCATCTATTCTCATTTGCAAGTGATTTTCATATCTAATTTTGTCTAATAAAACATCTTTCTATTCTTTAGCTGAAATGATAATTGTTTTGTATTTTCCCATCACTGAATAACCTTATCCTTGATACTTGTCATTCTGATCTTATGTTTCAAAATTCATTTTCTGAATGTGTGAAGAAGGAATAAAAATTGTGGCCTTAATTTGTTGTAGGGCAATGGTAAATGGCATTACTCTGAATCCAACAAGTAGAGTGGCATGTGTCAGCTGCCGCAATGCCTTTGCAATGGTTTTTATACTCCGTTACATTATTCCATGATTTAACTTGTCTTACCTGTAAATATGCTCTAATACTGGACAAACAAACAGTTTTACTCTTGTCTATTTTCTTGAACCAATAATTAGGGAAGGTTGCTAGCCTAATCGTATATTCGATTGGCTTTTTGATCATATCTTCAACAATGATACATCAGGAATTGAAATCAAGAAGCAGGTATGTAAATACATGGAGTGCTCTTCTATTTGGGTCATCGCGCTTTGCTTTGCTTTAATGTAATTAACCATTTACATTTGCAGTAACACTTGTTGGCGATTATCGTAGTTTTGATCGGATTCTGCTTTGCAATTATATTTCATCTTGGAACTAAAGAGCCTAGGTTTGTTACCAATATTTAGGGGTGGCAAACGGGCGGGGCGGGGCGGATATTCGTGGGTCGAAAACGGGTAATTCAAAAAATGAATAAATTATCCGACCCGAACCATATTTGAGACGGATAAAAATGGCTTCTTGAATATGATTATTTATGGGAAATTCCTAGTCTCCCAAACTTGAGAAACCCCCAATTTGAGGTTTTACAAATGTAAAAGTTAAACACATTAGTTATTCATTTGATTAACCATTTTCTAAGTGGATAATATGATTCTTATCCATATTCAACCCATTTTTAAAAAGTTCATTATCCAACCCATTTTTTTATGGGTAATATGGGTGAATAACTGTTTTCTTTTACCCATTTTGTCACCTCTACCTATACTTAGTAAGCTTATGGATTTAAAGGGATCAAATGCCCTAAATTAACGAGGAAGCAGTATTTGGATCTGTTTCTGATAGTACTGCTTATGCATGCAGGGTGAAGCAAGTAGCTCAGGAGACTGTTCGCCATAGTAGTTCTTGGACCCGATGATTGAAAAATGGCCTGTATTATAGATAGCTGGCATTTATGTGTTAACTAGAGTTATAACGAATATATCATAGGTAACTGTAGTTTTATGGTCAGCTTCTTTCAGTTACAAGTTTTCGATCCTTCAAATATGCAGTACTTACTAGTTTGTATTGCCCGTCTTGAGTTTTACATTTGTCATTGTTATCTCAGGTGTTTCTTGCTCTCTATGTAATCAATGATCTACACATGAGCCAATCTTCCAAGGCTTTGGTAATGATTTGCAATTGAGTTAACGAATAACTTTTATATCCTCCAAAAACTAGCTCTAATCAGTCTCAGCTATTTCTTAAATAGGTTCCCGACATCATCTATTTGTGCAGCTTCATTGCATCAGTCATGCTCCAGGTGCTCTTTCTCTATGGGATTGTTCTGCATCTCGTGTCCATTTTCCCTCATCTTTCTTTACATATTCTGAACGATTATTCCAGTTGCATGTAGGAGCTCAAATGGAGCAGTCACAAGTTGAAGGAATTCTTTTCAGTAGGAGGCCTCCTTTGCCTATTTTGTGGTGCTGTAGTACTCTCCCTACCGATGAACGAATTGCCAATGCCTTCATGATGGTAAGCTGCCGTTCAATCATTGTGACCTCAATTTAATCTTGAATATCAAGTTAAGGAAACCAAGAGAGGGTCAGGTTCCAAAAATTTACTGTTCCATTTGACAATCTAATCACGGTGCTATTGTTTGGCTTGTTGTTAACAGGTAACTTCAGTAGGCATGGAAAGTGAGCTAGTTGATAAACAAGTTGAGGGATCTGCTTTTGTTGATGGATCATTACACGTTTATTGTGTGGTGTAATGCTGTACATCTAGAGTCATACTAGAGTAAGTTATCTCTTTCCTTCTCTTTAAACGCCTACATTAACATATACTCTAGTACTTTATTCTTCTTTACTATTGTGAATGAAATTTAAATCTTGACATAAAACTATTCACCTTAATGCAGGTGTAACACCAGCATCATGTAATCAATCCAGCATATCGTTGTTTCACAGTTACACGATTTTCATTGGGATTCATTCTGGGAGTTGCTGCATTAGTTGGCGTCATAGTTACATGTTTTACAAACTTCAGACCTTCACATCCAATGCCCGTGGCAGAACCCTTGTTGGCATAGCTTTCAGAAGGATTGAATTGATGTACTTTTGAAGTTACATATTTGAGATTAAGGCATGGTTGATTGGTTGAAGTTGCACATTATAAATTTTAAGTCTAGTAATAAGCTAGAAGCTCTATTGCTCTGTACATCAGTTTATGCATAGTCCTTCATGTGGTCAATTCTATATTATGAGCTCAATTTTGAGCCATGTTGTAATTCGACACAGTTTCCCATTATTCCATAGAAATTCTTGCATCGAAAGAAAAAGATAGAAATTCTTGCATGTTTTAGGGAAAGAGATTGAGCCATGTACTAAAATCTTTGGGGAATCATAACTTTTAGTAATAATTAATTAAGTTTTTGTCTTCAGTTTTCCCTCTTTTGTATGCATTAAGATTTAAGCCTACGTGTATGATTTAAGTTATCTACAATTCCTTGTTTGGGGGAAAAAAAACTAATGTTATTTCTTCAAGTTTAGTACCCTGCATTTGACGTTTTATGCTATACCTACACAAAACACCAATTTTGTGAATAACCTTATCAAGAATCTAACTCGTAGCCCTTAGGCACATGCCCAATAATTGTGCATGGATATTAAAGATGCCCACTTGTATTGATCCTTCAATCTGGGCCGTTTTGTCCCTTCTTGTCCTCTCTATATTATGCTCTCTGTATTCTGGATATATAGAAAACCTATGGCACTGAATACTTGTAACTTTAAAGCATGGTCAGATTGAGCTTTGCCATTGATTACAGTAAGGGACTAACACAATGGTTTGGACCATTGCCGAAGACGACTGCAATGGGCCTCTAGTTTATGATTACTACTTATGCAAATACTTTTTGGGAAATTTAAAGAGATGTACGAAAATAACTTGGACAAAGTTGGGAACAATGACAGTCCAAACCGAAGAACTTGTATGGTAGACTTAGACTTATCTCACGTAAGGCTTTAAAAATCGTATAAACATCACTTAGTTTAGTTTTTTAATACTTAAACATTTGTTTCCTCCCAAATACACCCTAAGAAAGATCACTCCGATTCTCCCAATTAAAATCATTTTTTGATTGATCACTTGATTGCGATTCCAGGAGTACGTTGGGGGCAATAAGGATATGATGGCCCAGTTTTAAAGTTGTCAAAATTACAACAGATGACTCATTAACTAGAAGCCATTCACTTGTCATTTTCTTGTACAAATATGTGTCTAGGACTCTTCATTTCTTGAACGATGTCTCAGCCTCTTCTGATGGCCGGTATCTTTGACTTGTTGATCCAATCAAACTCTTCCGAGTTGTTACCATTTTACTTCAACCTCAAGAGTGGTTGTATCCAACTTTTGCTTCAATATTTATTTTAGAGAGATTATAATAATGTGGTGGGATAGATAAGATTATTTCATTCTTTACGAGAGAGTGTCAGTTTTTAGCTTTATGAAAGGAAAAATACCTGGTAGGTAGCACAAAATCTGATTATTATTATTATACTAGTTAAATAGTCCACCTTAATATTTCACGTCAAGTTGTACAAAAAAAAAATATTAAGACGCTTTTTTTCGTCTTGTATTCAACAAAAATGGAACAACTTACATTCTCTTCTCAACACTAGCTCTTCTCAATCACTTTTACAACACTAACATGCTATTCTCCCACAAAGGCACTACATAAATCTTGGCAAGTATCTAACTTCTTGTGCAATAATTGTGCATGGAAAATTCAAGAAGCCCATTTCAAGAGTTCTGACATTCCTATATAAAAAAATAACAATAAAAGAGAGCTTCCTCGTATTGGAGTGTCACTTGGCACCCGTAGCAGAGTCAGAATTTTTATTGAGGAATGTCAAAAAATAAATAATTAGCTACATCAAAAAGTCAAGAGCAGTTAACATATAATAAATATATATAAAATATAAAAACTTATCTAGTAATATAGTGTAATTTTTCGATCAAGAGGTGTCAATGTGGCTCCGCCACTGCTTGGCACTTTAAAAAGTTGTGAGCACCCACAAGCACTCTTGGATAATTGGATTACGTCGTCTCAGCTAGTTGTGAACTTGTGGGGGAGACCTTTGCCTTTCAAGTTTCAACCAACTCGTTATTTTCTGTCTATTCCGTTGCACATATCCACGTCATTGATGAGTTGTGGTGACTACGTGAGGAGGCTTGGTGGGAGTCCTCACTAAAATACAATTTGAAAAACAAAAACAAAAGAAGGTAATCCGTAATTTGTTTCTCTCTTTTTATGCGATAGATGTTAACTTGTTGGTCCTTGAATAGTGGAAGAAGGCAAGTGTAAGGCCATCTCCAACCCTCCTCATTTCTATGTAACGGGTACAATTTTTGCCATAACGGGGCTCCAATATTCCCTCATTTTTGCCTCCAAAATGGGGATGAATAGTGTTACTTCAAATATGGAGTGACACTATTCATCTCTTTCATTACTATTCATAATTATTTTTTTATTATTATTATTATTATTATTTAACTCATTTAATTTATCTCTTTATATATACCTAATTGTGTTTATGTAATATCTTTATGATATTAATTTTTTATTATAAGTTATAATTGTACAAAAAATATATAACATCTCAAAAAATGAATGGTGCAAATATAAAATCATGTCGAAAAGATGTTGAACGTGCATTCGGAGTTTTGCAAACTCATTTCGCAATTGTTGTAGGACCATCACGTTTTTGGAGAAAAGAAGTGTTACATGATATAATAACTACATGTATTATAATGCACAACATGATAATAGAGGATGAACGTGATTTTAGTGCACCAATTCAAGATGATTGGGAATGCTCACCTCCAACGGTAAAAATGGTAGTAGATAAAAATCACTGATTTGAGCAATTTTTAGCTCGACACAAAAAAATTAAGGACAAAGATACTCATTATGCACTTCATAATGCATTAATAGATCATTTACGGGAGCATACTAGAGGTGAAAGTTGAATATTTATGTAATATTTAATATGAATTTTATCATAATGTAATATGTATTTAATTATATTCTATCTCAATGATTTCACTTTTATTTGAATTATCAGTTAATATATATAATCTATAATATTTGCTTACAAATTATATTATTAAAAATTTATGGTATAAAATAATTTTATATTAAATTATATGTGATGAATATGTAAAAAAGAAAAAAAGATAGAATTTTTTTAATAGAAATAAGAAAATAAAATTTAAATAAAAGATAATAATATAATATTGAAGAAAGAGAAGAATATAAAATGGAATATTCTTTTTTGGAGTAAAAATAGAGTAATGGTTGGAGTAACTTTACTCCATTTTGAAGGAGAAAATGGAGGTAAGGGTTGGAGATGGCCTAACAGCTCACAAACGGCTGACAAAATGATTTCGAAAAGCTATTTGCTGTAAAATTTGTCTTTGGCAAATTCATATTAGAATGGAAGAGTGTCACGACCCATGTTTCCTCTGTTGGGTGTCGTGACGGCACCTAGTCGTAGGGACTAGGTAAGCCTAACATTAACTGAATCACAACGATAATTAAATAATATCTAACAATTTTGAAATAGAAAATCTCTATAAAATTATAATTCCCAAACCGATAGTACAAGTCATAAGCTCTACAAAGTTTTGCTAAAAACTTCTAAATACAACTGTTTGGAAATAAGGTAAACAATGTGTATACAAAATAAGAGGGTGACTCCGAAGCTTGCGAACGCAGCAGCAGGTTTACCTTGAGTCTCCACAACAATAATCCGCGCAGCTAGCTAATGATCTGACTTCGAAATACCTGGAGCTGCACAAAAATATGCAGAAGTGTAGTATGAGTACACCACAGCGATACCCAACAAGTATCAAGACTAACCTCAGTGGAGTAGTGACGAGAAACAGTCAAGACACCTACTGGACTAAATAATCTGAACAAGTATAAGGGTAGAGACAACAGAGTACGGTATCTATGAAATGACTGCGCATAATGACAAATAATACGGTAATTCCAATAAGAAGGGAAAACAACGACTAACAGCGAAACACCATAATAATGACACAATAGACGTACGGAAACACAGTCTAAATCCGGTGATCACAAATAAATGAAAGGCAAATAGCAACTCAACAAAACGATTGCTTTCACAACAGGTTTTAGCCAATAAATTCCACGAGGTACCGAACCTCAGAATATTCACAACTCACGGGTCCCAAATTCCTGAACCCTAACACTTAGCATCCTATGCTCTCATAACAATTTATAACCATACTGATGACTCGCGTGCCAAATAGAGTCATTTTCACATAGAAGGCAAATAAACAAGGGTGTGCATCTATACTCAACAATATCAATAAACCTCTTAACCGATAAGAGTGCTTAACTACGTGTATGCTTGTGCAAGTGTTCAAACATAGTTCATGCCAGCTAGTAAATATAGAAAAAAGAAATGGACAGCATGTAAAATGTCTTCCCACAAATTTTCACAAGATAAAGCTCACACAGGTAAGTGTACCACTACACAAATATCAACAACAAGAATGCCCCTAGGGCATCACAAGTCATTAAAAATAAATCCCTGACACAACCCACCTTGTCTCGTCACGTGTGCAATAATAAAGTAAATGCCTGCCTTGTTTCGCCACACGTGCATAATAATGTTCCCACTTTATCTCGCCACATGCGCAATCCACATATATATAGCCTGCCTTGTCACGCCACATGTGCAAATATCAATATTAACAATAGCACGGTAGAAACCTCGTGCATCACAGTAACAACAACTGCACGACAGAAACCTTGTGTATCGTAACAACTAGTACTACAGCAACAATGACAATAATTCAAGGGTACGACAAATAAGTCAACTCAGATATTCTAGAACTCAAAGAAATGAAGGAACTAATTCACAAGGAGTAGCCATAATCGGGAATGCTAGTCATAATAAGAACAGCTCAACAAGAAAGGAAATACTATGTAACAACGGTCTACAATATACAGTTCGACAACGAGGGAGCTAACACAAGTCGAATAATTCCAAATAAGGACAAGTCAACTAAAATATAGGATATCTAACTTCTTTTAAGGTTGGGCAATTAGGAAAGAGATATAACAAATTAAGCTAAGAAGAAGTAGCGGAAAGATAACCATAACCTCAATTAAGGCTAAACAA